CACAGATTATTTCCACATCACATAGAATAAATCACTAAGTTCAGACTGGAACATCGGGGGTTAGAAAGAAATGCCGAAAACTCGATTCACAGGTACTATCTCACAAATCACAATGCACGCAACCAGTCAGAAAAATAACTCATTTGCCAACAAACATGGTAGCCAAAATGCCCAAATTCGTCCTACCGATTTGAGAACACCAACTGCTTTTATCTGCCAAGCATTTTTTCCATTCGTCGACTGCTGGAAGAGGATGTTCAGTATTTTGCTTATCAATACTTTTATAGCAACTCCTGCGGTGGACTTGTTTTTTAATTCAAATATTCCATTTTCAGCATGTCATGCAGAATACGTGCCCTTTTTGTTTGGTAAGTAATTTTCTTTTCCGACACATTTTCCGTCGTAGAATACACGCGACGCACTGTCGCTTAGTTTGATGAGGTAAGTCGCCGTTTTCTTCATTTTAAATAATTACCAGCGTTTTTCTTAATCCGTTTTGTACTAAGAAATTGATCTGTAAACTTGAGAGGATTAAAATAGACATGATTATGCAACATGCTTCTTATTTTTGATGGACACTCATATTTGATGCTCTGTTTAATTAAAAAACAGATGATCAACTTGAATATGAGTATCTTTCAAAAATAACGTTTAAACAAAATAAATTAAAATAAAACAATTACATACACCCACACACATGGGGGATGCAGGTTTGATCCCTGCTGAGAAACATTTTTCTTTAATAAGATTTCTCAAATGTGCAGGCCAATAGGCGTAAAACATTCTGTTTAATAAACAAAATTGGGGTGTCTATTTCAAATACAGAGTATTCACTATAATAAGTACTTTGAAGTAATAAAAATATCAGATTAAAATAAATCCATTAATTCTTTAGAAATTACTTTGTTTACGTTTCAGATATGAAATTGAGCAGATATGAAGCTTTCCATAAAATAATCTGAGTGAAGAGGACATGCTTCCCTTTTTTTTTTTCTTTTTTTTTTTTAAATGAAAAGGGAAATAGAACCTTGCTTGCTGTGTTGTTCTCCATAGTCAAGTGGTAAAGCACACTGGATCAAACAGAAGAGGGATGTTGGTTCAATCCCTGCTTTAGAACACTTTTTTTCTTTTACATTTCCTTCGAATGCACAGGCCAATGTAATACACACTGTTTAATAAATAAAAATGGGCCATCTATTTCAAATATGGAGTATCCACTATAATAATGATTGAAGTAATATATACAAACATATGCACACACACACACACACACACACATTAATTATTATTAAGCAAAATATTTCCAAAATGAGGCTACAGGTGGAAAAAATTGATTAGCTGGAATGTTTTTCTGTCTCAAGCGTTGATTGTCCAGTACATTTGTTTGTCAAGATCCTCTTAAAGTAAGAAAATAGTTTTGGAATTATTACTTAGTTCTGACTCTAGATGCTACAAAGTTGAAATTTCTACTAAATAAAATTGAATCAATATCCATAGTATAATTCAGACTAAAAAAATAAATATACACAATGCAATGCCTGTATCTCTCTCTCTCTCTGTATGTGTGTATACAGGGTGCAATGGGTAAATTGTCACCATTTTATATTTTTAATTTTGCATATGTGCAATGTTTGTCAAATGCACAGTATAGTAGGGTCAGTTGGCCACTGTCTGTGAGAATAAGAGCACCATGATGCAATTCACTTCATCAGAAATTTAGAAACAGCTGTACTGCTTGGTATTCATGCCAGAAGCTGCAATACAAACATTTCAGTGTTTGGGTGTCAATCTAAGGACAGTGCAGGGGATTCAGAAAAAGTTAGTCTAATGGTGATTACAAAGGTACAACAGCTTGGAAAACTCACTCTGATCTTTTCTGATAAGAAAAGAACTGCCGAATTTGTTGGTCAGGGCTTCAGATTCAACCCGGAGACCTAGGTCAAGTGCCTTGAGGAAGTAGTGCTGCCCCAGGTCAAGAGGGTGGCTGCTGGAAGACTCTATATCTGGCAACAGGACTCTGCACTGTGCCACACAAGCAAGGAGAACCCTCTCATGTTTGGTAGACAATTTCTGTGATCACATCACCCCTTACATCTGGCCTCCTAACTCCCCAGGCAGCAACACCCTTGATTATTATGTGTGGGACGCAGTTAAGCGAGAGACCAACAAAACTCCTTGTAACACCAAAGTTGAACTGAAAGTAAGAATTATGTCAGCATCCATCAACTTAAACAAGGAAATTGTTTAGAAGAATTGCAGAAGATTCCAAATTCATCTGGAGGTCTTGGTTGAAGCCAAATGGGTATTTTATTGAAAAATTTACTCTTTAATATTTCAAGATATTTTTGTGTAATTTTGGTAAATATATCTATTAAAATGAGATGTCTGTGTTATTTTTGTTTTTGTATAATTTAGATGATAATTTATCCATCACACCCTATGTGTGTGTGGGGGTATGTATATATATATATATTATATATATAAAAGTGAACATAGAAGTCAACACTTAGAGGTGACAGCCTGTTTCATGCTATATGCAATCGTCAGGCCACAAGTGCTTTATATTTACACACGCTTTATCTCTGATATTGAGCACTTTATCCCATAAATATAGCACATCTTAAGACTATATTTCTTCATATATATATATATATATATATATATATTGTAAAATAATTAAATGTAATAATTAAAAAGTGTAAATGAATAAATGTTAAATAGTCTGTCTTATAGACTTACCTTTGAGAGAAGTATAATAAAGGAGAGCCAGATGGCATAGTGGAAATTGTTATTTTATGTGTAAATTTTTTTATTTAGAATTAAGTCTAATAAGGACTGCCAGAAAATAACTGTCATGGTGGACTGTTGGAGATTCAGTTTCAAATTCAGAAAATATATATTCTCCTTATATTTATTGTCCAATGAAAAGGATGGCTTCTGCCATTGTAAATTTAAAGTCAAGGTCCTTTGAGCCGCCTATCTCAAGGGTATTTAAGAATACGGGTCAGCAGATAGTCAAAAGAGTTAGAGACCACAGAAAGTGGTTAGACAGCTGAAGAAAAGAAGCCTGCTTGCAGCAGCATAAAGAAGTAATATATTCCACAGAAGGGTTTAGACATCTCAAACAAACAAAGCCAACAGTGAATCGGACGAAGGTTTGTGGTGAATACGAAATAAAAATAACTCTCTTTTCTCCACTGTTTTCAAATTCACAAGCTTATGCAAAAAATTTATTTTGACCAATAGAAAAAGGGATTGGCTCTAGGCTGAAGAAAAGATCAAGGCAAAGTTTAACAAGCCTACAAAAGTAATGAGCCGATGTGAAATCGCTTTTTGATATGAATAGGCAGAGAAAGTTGAATCAAGGCAGAGAGAGAAAAATCAGAAAGAAGCAGGAGGCAGAAAGTCAGTGTTCCACACGTCTGAATAATGCCAATGTTAAATTACATGCTGATACATTATCAGCCTCGAATGAGAGCAGGGCATTTTCAAAGAACTTTATTCAGCTCCAAAACTAAGTACCTTAAAATATATCTTTTCTAAGGTTCTAAGTACCTTAAAATATATCTTTTCTAAGGTTCTAAGTACCTTAAAATATATCTTTTCTAAGGTTCTAAGTACCTTAAAATATATCTTTTCTAAGGTTCTAAGTACCTTAAAATATATCTTTTCTAAGGTTCTAAGTACCTTAAAATATATCTTTTCTAAGGTTCTAAGTACCTTAAAATATATCTTTTCTAAGGTTCTAAGTACCTTAAAATATATCTTTTCTTTTGTTGAATACAACCATATAACTTTTATGTGAAAAACGAACTCTCTCAATTTGCTTTAAACATTTTGGAATATTACTTTGTGTCTGATGATTTAATATGAACATTTTCTCTTCTTGACAATTCATTGAAACAAGAACTTTAAATATTTGATTCCTATTCCTGAAACAAGCTACTGACAACTTCAAATGTGTAAATTTGTGAATAAATTCCTTATCTTGTTTTGTTCAATATAATACATGTTTCCTTGTCATTATCTCTCAATACTTCAGGCTTCCTCCTGAGAAAATCACCAGCAAAAAGCAGAAAAGCCTTGGCATTTTTTAAAACTATGCCAACAAAAAAGAAAATAGGATTCACATTGAAAAAGCATGTGGTTTTTTTTTTTTATTATATTTTTGATGGTGTAATATTCTGCGCAAGAGGCTTTCGATACTTGCTAGGTATCGATTAATGCGTTGATAGGATGTTAGGATGGTTGTTGATTGTCCCTCGGATGATGGTAGCCTCCTATTCCCTTTTACTGCTAAACTGCTGATTAAGATTAACCGGATGTCCGGAGGGGACCTAACTCTTGTGTCTTTAGGGGTTATCTCCCTTCTGTTGCTGGGATATTACAATGCTTTTTTTTTTTTCTTTTTTTTTTTTTTTTGAGAGGGGTTTAGCAATCGAACCTTTTGGGTGACCGTCTTGCTCGACCTGTGCACCAGAGGTTGGGAGTATGTTGTGCCTGGGTGTCTTTAGATTTTGGTGGTGTTGTAGTGTGTGTGTGTAGTTTTCATCTTCAGATGAAGAGTAATCAAGTGGGTTGTGTGTGGGGCTTATTGGTGGTTTGGGGATTTTCTTGAAAAAGGTGGCATTTCTTGTAGTTTGGTTGCCCTCATGTGTGGCAGTTATCATGGATCCCTTTTTCTTTGTCACAGTCATTAGGTTAGGTTGGTAGGGTGTGAGAGCCTTTGAGGTGTGGTCATTTTTTATAATGACTGTGTCACCCACTCTGAGATCATTGGGTTTCACGTATGTTTTTCTGTCAGCGTATCGTTTCATAGTTGTCTTGGCTTGTGTGTCACGCTCCCTGATGCTGGGGTCTCCAGCTATGGGTGTGATCAAGTGTGGCAGGCGGTTTTTCATGGTCTGGCCAAATAGGACTGAGGCCGGGGGTACACCTGTGGTGCAGTGTGGCGTTGTTTGGTAGTCCAGTAGGAATTTGAATAATTCCTGCTTCCAGCTTCAGCCTTTAATTAGGGCAGCCTTGATGGACTTTTTTATAGTGCGCATAAAGCATTCCATTTCAGCATTGGCCTGGGGCCACAGGGGTGTTATTTTCCTGTGTTTGAATCCAGTGAGGGAGGCGTAGTCTTTGAAATCGCTGCTGTTGAATGGTGGGCCATTGTCTGTATTGAGGGATACTGGTACCCCAAACTTCACAAATATTTTGTCCAGGCGGGGTATCACTGATGTCGTTGAGATGGAGTCTAGGATGTCAATAACAACGTAGCGTGAGTACTCGTCTGTGACGACAAGTAGGTATTTCCCATTTTGGAGGTGTCCAAAGTCAGCGCTGACTTCTGTCCATGGAGCCGCTGGTAATGGGGACATTTGCAGTGGTTCTCTTGCAGGTTTGTGGGTGCTGATCTGGCAGGTGTGACAGTTCCTGATGTTTTCTTCTACTAGGGCTTGCATGTTTTTGAACCAGACCTTTTCTTGGAGGAGGGCCGTGGATTTCACGATGCCTTGATGTCTGGTATGTGCGATTTGGGCGGCTCTGCTTTGTAGTGTCTTGGGCAGTACTATCCGGCGTCCTTTGAGAACGATGCTGTCATTGTGTGCTAGTGAGAGTTCGGCACGGTTGGCATGCAGAGTTTGGAATGTCGCTTTATCTACATCATCGTCAATACCGTACCACTTGTTGGTGAGGAGGGCTTGTATGGCGGCTGTGAGTGTCTTGTCCTTTGCGGTTTCTGTTGCGACTTCTTCAATCGTCATTGGTTTGGGGGTTGATGTTGAGAGGATGTAGTTTATATATTCTTCTGATACTTTTTGTTCCCTGTCGCTCGGTGGCAGGTGTATAGGGTGACGGCTGAGGTAGTCAGCTGGGTTGTCATGACCTGGTCGGTATATGACGGTCATGTTGTACGTTTGTGTTCTCAAGACCCAGCGTTCAATGAGTGCCGATAGTTGAGAGTGGGTGTTGTTAAAAATTAATGTCAAGGGTTTACGATCTGTATGCACAGTAAATGGTGCTCCCAAAAAGTATATATGAAAATGTTCACATGCCCATGTGATAGCGAGGGCTTCGCATTCTGTTTGGGAGTATCTTTGTTCAACTGCGGATAATGCTTGGCTTGCAAATTGTACTACCTGTCCACTTTGTGACAGCACAGCAGAAATGCCTACGGGGCTAGCATTGGTGTATATCTCAGTGTGTTTGTTCGGGTCAAAGTAGGCGAGTGAGCATGTTTCCAATTAAAAGAAAAAAGTTTTATAAATGTTTGTAGCTTTAAAATTTCAGGAAGTTTTTTTTTCCTGTTTGCACCTTTTTTTAATATTTGGGATAAGAAAGTGGACATGCTCTTTTCTCTCATTCCCTTCCCTCAAAATTTAATTACTTCAAGTTAAATTTTTTAATATATATATATATATATATATATATATATATATATATATATTTATTCAAAATTATAACATAAATATGTTATAAAATCACTACAAAAATAGCCATTTTGTTTCAACACTTCTGGTGTCTTATCAAGTGCTGGTGTTGAATGTAGAATAAAGGGTTTTAAAAGGTTCAAATCAATCAAACACTCCTCACTAGGGGAAATGCTGTTACATAAGCTGGAGTGACCAATCAAAATACAAGTATATAAGAATTCAAAAAACTTGACAACAAACTTTGGTTACAATAATTATTTAATGCTTTAATGTTAGGGTTAGACAAAATAGAATGAATTCTAACTAATAAATATTAAATCATACTATAAAATTCAAAATTACCAATTTTAAATTTAATCTATATTAAGTTTAAAATAATAAAATTATTTAAAGAAGAAACTGAGGAAAAAAGTACATATGTTCTTCTATTTATTCTGTTTTTATTGAAATTAAGTTGGAATAAACGTTAAGATCTAATGCTGCTCTGAACTCCGTTACAACTTAGATACATTTGAAGTAAAGACATGAGCAATGAAGGATGAAATCTTGCAAAAGACAATACATATACAATCAGATTATAATACACAAACACGCAAACATTTAGATATATAAACATGCAAAACAATGATGAGACAGGAAATATGTCCATGACCCTAAAAAAAAAAAAGCAGGAACATCAAAACTCAAGCTACCACGCTACCTAGGTTTCAACCATTAGGTTTCCTCAGACAGGTAGAATGAAATATTTTAGTTGATTCCACCACCATTATATATGAACACTGGAAGTTAGGAGGAAAGAGGAAGGAAAAGGCAGAAAAAAAACAACAAAAAAATTATTTTCGTCCTGGTTCATACATACACAATAAATATTTTCTAAGGTGTCTACATTTTGATAACACCTCCGATCTTTCATTTAGCAGTTCCTCCTTGTTTGGGTCTGTGGTGATTGTTAATTTTTTTCTTGGTATAGTTTACAGTAGCTTCCTCAGGCTCTGCCCGACTTTACTTTTTTGATTATTTTCCACTTTGTGTGAGGAACTCTACCATTAACTTCCTTCAACCTCCAAACACAATTTGCCAGTTTTGTGTCATTTCTATGGATGGCTGTTTGCAGCCTCCTTTTACAATATATACTATCTTATATTTTATATTGCATTTTAGATTGAGATATATATATATATATATATATATATAGTCTCTTTATCTCTGAGAAGATTTATTCCTATTGAGGAGATTATTATTGCATCACAGATTCCTGTATATTAGAAAGTAAATGATAAAAGTCCTGTACATTAGAAATTGAATGATAAAACAAATTATTTACTGACTTAATAAAAGTAAAAACATCTGATTTTTAAGTTAAAAATATCTTTGAAATACTATTTCATATAAAACTTGAAAAAATGCAAACACAATGAATCATGTCATTTTGCCACTAAAGAAGAATTTCTCTTTTTTTGTGAAGTGACATCTTTTGCCTAACACCGGCGGCATCCGGTACGGGTTGTGAAAGAGACGACGACAATGGTGCAACTCGAATACATGGAAACTATTTTTGAAAAGGCGGTAGCCGCTGAAAAATCGGATCCATTGGCTGCCATCAAGTTATTTACGAGTATTGGTAAGTTAAAGAGCAAAACTGAAATGTTAATTTTGCTGTTCGTTAGAAAATAACGATTTATTTTAAAATGCTGACTCACTCACAAGCCATTTTAGAAAAATGAGTGTAAAAATGAAATTATTGTATGTCGCTCAGTTTTTCTTTATGAAAGTTTACTTTAAACGATTTTACTTTATTCATTATTTACGCTGCTATTTTTTTTAAAATCATTCGTACCTTTTTATTACTTAAAAGCTCTCTTTTCTCAAGCTATACGACTGAAAACTACTCCCAATCGAAATATTTGTCATCTCTGCTTTGAATGAAGCATTTCTGGTCAAATAATTTCGTTTGTTATTTGTAGTTTAAAGAATTACCATGTGGCTTGAGAATAAGTAAGAGAACGAATGCAAGAAATACTTTATTTCGCAATAACGTATTGTATTTGTTTGAAAATGAACATATGAAACATTGTGGCAAAAACAGATGAAAATGCGATTTCATATGCTTTTTTTAATCTTATACTCATGTTAAAAATATTTTTCCTATTAATTTGAAATTTGAATTGACGTGTTTCTGATATTCCTTTAGAAATCTAATTGACAGTTTAATATCCATTTATGGATACGTAAGAACAGTTTTGTTTTGGTTAGTCGACTAAGGATAAAAAATTTAAATTTTTTTTCTCTTGGTCTTAAACAATGTTAATTAATAGCAAAATAAAACCACAATGTAAAAAATGTAGAATTGGAAAGGGATGACAAATATTTTTTTTAATAATTTATAAAGAAAAATCCCTGAAGATCAGTAAAAAAAAGTAAATTGCAATATCAAATCGGAAAATTAAAAAAGAAATTTTGCTGAACCTTTCGAAAAATAATTCAATAAAAGTGAAAACAAAACAAAACTAAAAAAAAATTATTTCTGAAAGTTGGTGTTAAAGTTATACCGTCTGCATAATTTAATAAAATAAATAAATTATTTTATTTCAGATATGGGGCCGGGGGGTGAAATCTACAATGAATATTTATTTTTGAAAATTTTACTGTGATTTTTCAATGTAATTTTGAAATTCTTCTGGTTGCTGTTGATAACAAAAGAGATCTTTGTTTGAAGAGTAGAAAAATGTAAAGTTTGATTACCATTTTCAAAATTTTCGCATCAGAAATATTTCTAAAAGAATTCACCCACCCACCCTTTTTTTTTTTTTAAATTTGGAAGATAAAGAGCTCTTGGTAGGTAGATTACTAAATCTGAGTATTATTATTGAGTGAGATTCAAGTCCACCCATCTCCCTTTTTGTTAGCACTTCCTTTTTAGTGAGTTTAATAAATTTTAAAATCAGAAGAATTAAAAAGACCTCATTAGGAGTAATTGAATATTTTCTATGACATCACACAGGTAATAAAATAAAAGCAATGAATTAAACTCAGAAATAAGTATCTTTTAATTACTTTTTAATTTTTCTGATGGATAGTGGCTCGGATTGAGGAATCAGGGAGCCAAGTTCGAATTCCGGTTGAATCCTTTACAATCACTTATATGCTAATGCCCTTGAGAAAGGTATGAATCCTCTTCTTCTCCCCCAGCTATGGGTAAATAACAGCACAGACCAGGTTCTATAGCCTTGGATGGCAACTGGTCTACCGCAGAAAGAAATGGCAACCTACTGCAGGAAAAAATCTACCACATCAGTCATGTATCAAAAGATACATGATTGCCTAAGCAGGTATCACGCATGGCACATAACTGACTGAATATAAGAAATCAAATTCTTTCTAAGTTTCATTAGGATAAAAAAATCAGTAAAGTCTGAAATTATAAATCATTTGCGTAAAATGGTGAGTTAATTTATATTGCTTATTGTTTTTAATTTAAAGAAAATTTTTTTTCTTGAAATATATATTCAGATATATATTCCCATTTGTGCAGATGCTTGTTGGTTCCTTTTTCTCTGAGAAAATGCTTTAGACAAAGCCATCTATTCTCTATTGTTTCAGTATAAAATGAAGATATTTTTCCTACAGCTGGTTTTAGGACCTCTCCAAATACATCCTTCAGAACAACTTTTGAACAGGAAGGTCATATTGTAGCAGCAGTCTTCACAAGTTCTTTGTTCTGCAATTAACTTGTTTTTTTTTTCAAAAAGTTAAAATTCTAGCAAATTTTCTACTTTCATATTTGTGCATATGAATTATAGCCCCAATTCTAGACTTTTACCAAAAATTATGTTCTTAAACTATAAGTTATATAAGCGTAAAGATTATTTTTAAACGTTTCTTGATTATTGCACCTCTAGTATTCTGTATTTCTTTAACTTTTTTAAACTTTTTTTTTTTTTTTACATGCCTCTGGGATGGCAGTTGTTATCCTATGAACTTGATGACTGCATACAGGTTATCCTGTGTAAAACATTATTTTCATGATGTTTTAAAGAATTACTTTTACAAAATCTGACTAATTAATCCTTAAATTTACTTTGAAGCACATCTCTATAAATGCTTTTCTATAAATATTTTCATGGTAATTGTCCTGATGAGCTTTCCTCTTTGGTAACTAGACTTTATGAATTTGAGCACAATATTAAATTGACAGTAAAATCTGATCATTTTACAGCTAAAATAGCTTGATGTAATTATAAGTTCTATGCTAACAGTTTTTTTTCTCTTGCACTTCCTGCGTTTTGAACTCTTTCGGTTTCTTGCTTCCCAGTCAATTTTGATCTTCAAAAATTTAAATGCATTTGTTATCTTCTGTTTTCTTAATTCCTGTTCTTTTATTGTCCTCTCTTCTTAATAATGTTTTGTTTTTCTCATATTCTTTCACACTTGTATCTTAGAGGCTTTATTGTCTTGCTTGTGATGAAATGATTAAAAAAAATATTGAATTTTTAAAATTTTGTTGTTTACATTTTTATCTATAATGGTAGTTCAATGTGAAAATGTTTTAAAAATAACTAAAATTCTTTATATTTATTCAAATTTAAACAAGAAATTATCAAATTTTTAAAAACTATATTTCTGATATGAGTGAAAAAATATCTTGAAAATGACTTCAAGCCAATTCCAAACTTTGTTCAGACAATTGAACTCCCAGTTTGTATTGTTGATTATGTCACCATAATTTGACATCCATTCTGCAGGCCTTTTTGTTGAAATTTTAAAATGTCATCAACAATAAAATAAAAAAAAAAGTTCAGTCATTAGAAGTTTGAGATGTTAATTATCTTTCTCAATGTTATAGATAGAGCAACTTGTGCTGAAATTAAAAGGAATGAAAGTGTGTTAACAGACAGCTTTGTAAAAACCCTAAAAAATTATTTTCATTTTGGTGGAAGATAACTAGTTAGAGAAGGGTATGAGGAACTTTCTGAGGGTGTCATCACAAGTCTATTTGGGTTAAATTATATTGCCTACTCCTGTCCTAACTTTGAAGAAACAGAAAAAAAAAAGTCTAATTTTCATATTTTTAAAATAAGTGAAATTATTAGAAAATATAAAACCAGTTTCATCTGTTTTTACTGAAATAATTTGCAAAATCATGCCTTTTTTTTAACTGCAAAATATATTGCAAATTAGCAATTTTAAGTTCGCTTTATGATATCAGTACAAAGCCACACTTAAAGATATTATTTTCAACATAATTAATTTCTCGTAATTTTGTATATTTTCATGGTCACCATCATTAAATTTGAAAGTAAGCATGTTTTAGCTATGAACTAAGGAATCACAAGTTAAAATATTTCCAAATCCAGGGAATCCTCACTCCTGTTTGAAGAACATGTCTCTCGTTAACCTCCCACACTTCCTTTCTCTGGCTATACTGAGCCATGTGGGGTTGAAGTATCTGGTCAGATCATCAGGCCATCTTGCCTTGTCCACTCTGTTGCTCTAATAACCCACCTGTTGTTGGTAACTAAATGAGCTCTCCTACCAGACCTTGTTCTGGCGAGGAAGATAAGTGGAACCCCAGCAGCACAAAAAAGCAAGATCTGTTAAAGGATAGATGAAATTCTCTGAATCATCAGCCATCTATCTCATGAGTTAAATAGCCTCACCCATCCACAATTGACCGGATGTGGCAAGTATAGCTACACTCCTGAAAATATTTGCACTTTCTTAAATAAAAATGAATATTGTGTTGTGAAATAATGAAGACACTAGAGAGTAATCTGGTGCTAGATTATGAAATAGTAGCTACAATTGCATTTATTTTATGCTCATTATAAGAAACTCATAAAGCTTGTTTGAAATCTTGTTCTTAAATATTTTTAATCTTTTATTATCCCTAAAATTTTAACTCCATTTGGGATATTTTAACCCAGTTCCTAGCTTCTTATTTATAAGTAGATGAAGTGTGGGATCATAGCTTTGTAGAACTTCCTGTTTTTGTTACTATAAGTAACTTTTGACCCATTATCACTCCTCCTTGTCTCTATTCTACCATCCATTCATACAGATTTCTTAAGTAGCTTACTCCTTGTTGTTTCCTTCTACCTTCAATGTCCTGTGAGTGTTGGATTCTCTTGGCTCTCTTAATTCATTATGTATCCTAGAAATTTCAGTTGTTCCTTTTTGATTTTAAGTATGTTTCATTGTTCCATATCTCTCATGCTTCAAGTTTGTTCTTCATCTATGAGGAACTTGTCCAGCATTCACTGGCATATAGGGGGACAGATATTATATAAAAGTTCAGTGCTCCCACTCCCAATTATATTTTTATGTGTTTTAATACATACTTTCAGGAAGACATATTTAGCTCTGTGTGTTACATTAGTCATTATTCATTCATGTAGAATAATTGATGGAATTAAAAGGAAGACGTGGTTACATTTAACTGTTTCAACATTAAGTGTGGGACTGAGATACCAACCTAGTATCACACTACCAAGTTGGGACTGATCATATTGGATTTTGTTGAGAACCTTGAGATGAATAGTGAGGATACCAGACCATATAGAGCAAAAGTATTCAATGCAGGGATGAATAATAGTTTTGTAGATGTAAAGGATGGAATCAAAC